TTTGCGCAGAACAGAGCTCTCACAGGAAATAGATTAGCTTTATTTCTTCACCTGATGTCCTGCTAATGGAAGAAAGTGAGTGACAAAGGGAGTTCGTGGACTGATGCATATAAGAAGTGATATTCAGAACCTGTTGATATAAACTGACATGTTGATTCTTCTGTCCTGTTGCCTTACAGCAGCAAAATGGGTATTTTTCCCACAAAGGACTTAATAAAAGGTCCAGATAAATATCGCACAGCATTGTGAGTCTTCATGTGGATCTGAAGTAGTCTAAATGAAGAATGTGGTTTGAATGGGAAATTAAGAGCAAAATGTTCATCCAAATCCTTCTAAAATTACTCGAAATAGATACCACCAGTGCCTACGTGGAGTCCTACCTAAATTTCAAAACCAAATTGAAACTGTTCCTCAGTAATTCATTACTAAAATTTTTATTTTAAAATTACAGTAGTCATAAATAACTTCATGAAAACCACAGCACTGAAATATTGAGGAAAATAATTTAAATTCATTGAAAACATTGAATGAGGATGTAGTAAAGTGAGAGATCCTTATGGAGGGGAAAAAGGCAAAGAAAGATGGAAGTGAGGTGTGAATTATGTTTAACAGTTCCAATTACTCCAAGCAGTATTCACTATTCAAAGATCCCAGGTAAACAATCCTTCTTTCCTCAGACTGAAAACCTGTTGTTTTAATATCAGCCAATTCTTTGCAAAAATTCAGGATTTTTTTTTCTTTGAACAGTGCATGCTGCCAGATGCACTTTTAATTAACTGTGCTCTGAATGCAGCTTCATTAGTTCCTTTTTTTTGATATCTTTTTTATTTTTGGAAAAGAATATTTTAATGGAAAATCTCATTCTTTGGCCTCTGAGTAGTGCTTTGTTGGGTTTTCTTTGTTTGGGTTTTTTTTTGTCTTTTTTTTTTTGCTGTAAGTATAAGCTAAATTGGTTACACTTTGAAAATAGGTCTGTGGGTGGTAGAATTTGTGTAAGGACCAAAAAGCACTTTGTCAGTACTCATTAGGCATTGTGGTTATAAGGTCTTGGTGTTAAAACAAACTTGTGGGTTTCAAGCAATAATATGGTACTCCATAGTTTTTAAATATTGCATATTCAAAACATTAAACAAAGTTTGATTAAAACAACAGTTACAGTAGTTGCCAGGGTAAGCATGTTCAGTCATTTGGATATGATCCAGTTTTGTTCATTATAAGGGGATAAATGCATCCAGTTTCTCTTCCTGCAGTAAACAATTAATATATTGTTATTCTTCATTGTGTTATAATAATAATTGGCATTTAGCATGTCATTGATGCAAATGTTAGCATAACCAAACCTAATGAGAGGGTTTCATTTAAATAAAGAAAAATGTATAAATAACAATTTGAACATAGTCAATGATTTAAAACAAGCTGTGCATCGAGTGTTTTATCATCAAAGCTCTTTAGCACTTTTATGCATTTACACAGTGTGTCTGTCCTGGTTTGCAGTGTGTAGCTGGCAGCACTGTTTGGTTTTTACATTTTCCTTTGCATTATACTAGGTAGTAATCATGGGTTTGGCCAATTTGAAAACCAGAAAGAGCGAGGGTCAAGAATTACATTTAGAATTAGAGGTTACAGGTAAACAAAATGCTCTCTTCTGTGATATGCCTGAGTGAAATTTGATGTATCCAACAAGTAAACACATATCCAATACTAAGTATGTGTTTTGGCTCAGAGGGACATATGCAGAGTAGGAGAGGCGGTCACTGCATGAATGACTGCCCTTGCAGGTGAGCATCTCTGGGACAGGCTTGGATAACTGACTTTAAAGGGTGTGTGAATGACTCACGGATGTTGTCTATGCAAGCTGAGCCATTTGCAATGAGCTATTTGAGATTAGCCTTTCATTGATTGTGAAATAGACACAAAATACCTGTGGTTTCTAATTAGTTTTCAGTGCAGGTTGCTTGTTAGGAAAAAAAAACCCTTTGCCTTTATTGAAATGACCGCTTAGATTTCGGTAGAGAACAATGCTTGCAAACTACTTTTGTCAATAGTGTTCACTTCCTTCAAAGCAAGTTTTCTAATTAGTGAAATCAATTGCAAATTCATTTTCCATCTGGATACTTATGTAGCTGCATAGGACAATCATAAAATTGCCCTTATTTAGAAAGGTTTCTGTGGAGATGGCAGAGACACACATACAGTCTAAAACTGTCTCCACATGTCTGAGGCATGAATCCAGGAAAAGATCTTTATTTCATTCTCGGAGACCATCTGACTATTTTTGTATTCTGCTGACCTTAGAACCTCTGCTGTCAGTGCAGGCTGCCCCTTGTGCTGGAGGTGGTAACAAGTGCCAGGCCCTGTACTTGTGCTGGGCACTGCTTACCTTGCAGTGCCTGGCTGCAGGGATATGCCATACCTATATAATGCTGATGCACAGGGCCTCCTGTTTTTCATGTAGCTGTATGTATGACTAATTTCAACCAGATGTTTTGTATTCATTGAAGTCACAAATAAACTTGTACTGTCTACCTGTGCCACTTAAGTGCTGGCAATAGATCAAGACCCTGGCTAGAATGAGGAGATTTTTAGTTGATTGCATTTCAGGTGTTTTATAACTTTCGCTGATGTTTAGCAGGGTCCTTAAAAAGCTTCTGTATTGTGAATAATAACTCATTGGGTTTGTGTGTACACAAAAAAAGAAATACAGCATTAATGCATGCAAGGTTTATTTTTCTTTGTATTGTTAAAGAAGTCTTTTTATGGCTTTTGGTTTTATGGACAGTCAAAATACCAAGGAAGGCCAAAACTTGTATTGTTTTGGCTCTGCAGATGTCTGCTTGAAGGATTAAGGCTGTCAGCAGAATGTGTAAACACCATTTCTAGCCTTTTAAGTTGGTCACTAAAGCATCTTTAAGAGCAGTTTGGGAATTTAGTCCTGCATGGCAAAGCTCTTAATCATGTGACGAAATGATGGTCAGGGTCTTCTCTTAAAATGTTTTAGTAACTTTTCAGTTCACAGTAGTAAGTCACTTCTCTTATATTTGAGATGCAGTGATTGAACATGCATCTGTAACTAGTCCATGGACTTATAAAATCAAGTTTACTTTAACTGCGAGTTTACCTCAAGTTAAGAAGGGGTAATTATTTAAACAAGGGTGTAGTTATTCAGAAATTATATTGTCACTGTGATCTGCTTAAAGTTGCTGATTTTTTTCTGAATAAAGCTTGATCCTACTTGAAAATAGGTAATTTTGTCCTTGCCCTTTGAAACAGCATTGGAAAATGAATACAGAAATGTTTTTAGAAGAACATGCACAGCAAAAGCTACTGTGTGTGAATAGAATGCCTTTTCCTAAGCATATTCGATTTGACTTTCATATAGGTCTTCACCATGCTAAGAGTATTCTGATGTTTTGGACAATGAAGAATTTATTTCCCTTGTACAATGAATCTGCTGTCCATCTAGTTTTCACAAATTTACGTATTATTTGACTGAGCTTATAATTCAGCATTTCTGATTTTTTTTTTGTGGGGGAGAAGGCAGAATGGAAAGGTGAAATATTTGGATGGGTCATGTAGCTGCCCTTAAACAGAATTCAGATGTAGAATTTCAGCAGAAGGGGTGGGAAAGAAAGGCATGATGCAGACAAAAATAATCTGTGCAAAGTAGTCAGAAAATTATATTTTACCTAAGCTTTTCTCATTTCATGTGAAAAGAAAATTCCATTTTAAGATCTCCACAGTTCTATGGAAAATGTAAAACCCAGTTCAGAGAGATCATTAAAATTTCATTCTGTATCTGAAAATCATGGTTTGGAACCAGTCACTTTAAAAATGTTCAGTGAAAGAGGAATTGCTGTGCTGGAATCACATTTTCACTTTAGTGTTGACTTTATTTTAATCTAAGATTTGAGTTTAAATAAAACTGTAATAAAAAAAAGCTTCTCTTAAGAGGAAATATTTAAATCTGAAACTATTGAAATGGGATGCTTCAAGGGTGGTAGAATGCTCTCATCCATTTTTGCTTTGAGGAAAAAAAAGCCCAAACCAACCAACCAACCAAAAACCCCCAAATAAACCCAAATTTGTCAAATTTTCAGTTTGAGATAGAGTGTAAGTTGCTGCCCCTTATAGGAATTTGGAGGAATGATGAAAGAATGGTTCTGTAATTTTTTTTTTTCCAAAAAGGTCTATTTTTATTCAGTGAATAAAGATGAATTTTAGCTCAGCTTTTACCTCAGCTGCTTGACCTGGAGCCTGCCTCTCTTACTTTTCTGTCCATCATCTGGGTCTGAAAATTAGACTTTGAGGGTAGATCCTCTGATGAGCTTTGTATCACTCTGATCTTTCTGTTCAGTGAAATAGAAGCAAAGAATTAATAATAATTAGTTAATAATTGCTGTTGATGGGATGATGAGTGTTCCTTGTTCTCTGTGCACTTCTAACCCAAGTTAAGCGGTGTACCTTGTCTTAGAGGTGTTGGTGTTATCACCCGCCCGCCGGCGTGTGTGCTGCGTACATGTTGCGCTTTTCCTTGTCACCCAGCTTTGTACCTAATTCTGGAGAGTGGATTTTATGCTTTGGTGGAAATTACACTGTGAAGTCCTGCATAAAATAAAAAAAAATAATAAAAAATAAAATAATAAAATAGATCTTGAAAACATTTTGAGTAAAATGCTGTGCTGGGTCCAGCAAATGCTGCTGGATAAGACTGTTGTCAAACAGCAGGGAATAAAGGGTCTGAATGCTTAAAAGTCAGCTGAAAGCCAAAAAACCTGCAAAATATTTGCAAATTAAGTATCTGAGCAAGATACATTGCAGTGGTTGTGCAAGAAGCTTTTGCTGAATGGAGGTGATATGTAACAGGATCTTTTCTAACTGTGTTTTTGTCTTTTTAAAAGTATGCTTTAAAGAGCAGTCAAACTGTATTTTAAGTAAGGAACACTCAGTTTTCACTATTTCAGGGTCTGATCATCTTTTGTGTGTTTTTTGTTGTTTTTAAGCTCTTGACGGTTATGGCCAAATCTTTCATCAGCATATTGTATAATGAGCTACCCATTGGATGATTTACAGTCATCTGAAACATGATACATACTTCTCTTCCTTGTCCATGGTAAGTGTTGTGCCTTTGCATACCTATTAAATACTGACTTTCAGAGAAGGAGCTACAAATTTGCAGTGACCCGAGTTGGATGTTGTTCTCACTGTTTTCATATGTTAATTTACTGAATAAATTTTAAAAAACAGGTCTTTGTCCTAAGCTGTTTGAGGATGTTTTAAAACTTAAAAAAAAAACCAACTTTTTTTTCTATTATTTTAGAGCTGTGCAAACATCCTGATACATAGCTTGAAATGCTCTTTCAGCTTGAAAGCATCCTTACCTCCATGCAGAGTATCTTATTTCAAAATAGGTTCCAGCCAAATGTTTTTTTTGCTATGACACATACCACAATGCATTCAAGAACAAAATAACTATAACTGTTAGAAATATAATTCAAAACACAGGGAAAAATAAATTAGTGAAAATATTTAGAAGGAAGTTTTCAGTTTTATTTTTGCACTGCTTCTGTGTTTTGTGCCTGCAGTTAATCTGATTATAGTATCTGTGAGCAATGTTAAGTATTGTATAAACAATAACATTAAAAGCAAGGCTCCTCATAATATAACTGAGCTATCACTTCTGATTTACAGTGTCCAGACACGCAATAATGAGATCCAAAGCACTGGTTCATTTGGCTAAACACATTGACAAACCAAATTTGGATATCAAAATGTTCCACTGACTGCTCTTTAACACAACAGAAATAGCAGCCCAGTCTCCTGTCGAAATATCAGGTTAAGCATTTGATGTTAAAATCCCCACTGTCTTGATCTTCTCCTTAAGTGTTTTGACATGGCTCTTCTGTCAAAGTTTGTGAATGGTGCTGTATTTTCTGGAATAGTTGCTTAGCCATTGTTAAAGTCTGTTTATGTTTGTTACCTTAAGTCTGTGGCTAGGGTTCAAGTTAGAAAAGTAGAGAAATGCAAGCATTGAGAATAGAAGAGGCAAATTAATGGCATTAGTCAAAGCCATTCTTGTGACATGCTGAAGTACTATAATGAGGTAAGACAGAGACAATTTGGTTTCCAGAGGTGTGTTTACACTTGATAATGGAAAAGATGTGTTTAAATATTCCATATAAACTGGTAGAGATATTTTATCAGCAAAACTGTTTACTGTTATTTTTGGTGGAAGTAGGTAATTACACACTGAAATGAACAGACATATAGCATCTCTTTTTCATCTTTTGGAGGGCATCTTCTGCTTGTCTATGTTACCAATTTCAGCTGGCTTTGCACTTCAAATGGTACATCTCCCAGATGTTAACCGTACAAGTTTGAAACCAGGGAGCCAAATAAATAGCAAAGAAAACATCGCCTCACTTGTTTCCACTGGCAAATTATTGGGGGGGGGGAGGAGAGGAAGGGAAGAGGTAAAGGTATTGTTTTGGGTTATCTAGCACCTGTTAATTCATTGAGGCAGTTCCCTGGATATTCACTGAGTTCTGCGTTGTTCCTTAACCAAGCTTTTTATTTGCTGAATTAGCCAATTTGCTTCAAAAACTTGACCTTTTCTTCTCTTCCTTATCATCAATGTGCCATACATTTTTGAGCCTGTTTTTGCATCCTGAATGTTCATTGATTCATGATGAAATAAGGGCTTTGTAACAGGTCTGGTGAAATAGCTAACATCTTTAAACAGAGAATAGGATGTCTATCCCACATGCTTAAACACTGCAGGATTTTGTCTTCTTTTCCAGAGGTCCACTACACCACATTTTACGGCAATTATTTTCTCTGTCCAGCAGCATGAGAACAGAATCCAGTCCACAGTGTTTCCTTTGTGGCCAAACTGAAAAAAATACCTGTGATGATGTCTTAAATTGTTTAAGTAATGCCACTCTATGTTGCCCTGATTAAAAAACAACAAAAAAAAGAACAAGCAAAAAAAACCAAAAAAGAAATCCAAACCAAAAACCCCCAAAAAACAACCCAGCCCAAAAATACCCAGCAGCAAAAACACACCCCCCCTGCTTGCTTTGGCAGTCTTATTTGTAAGATTTGTTCCTCTCTGCAGTCAAACTCTTCAAGAAAAGAGCACATGTGTGTGTGAGGGCATCTTCATCCCCTTCTCGTTATGGTATGCACTCAGAGATCATGTAGACTCTCAAAAGCCCAGTGAGTTACCCCACTGCTTGTTTCTAACCAGATGAAAGCTAAGGTGGACATTAGGGGTAAACTGAATGTCACCATGCGTGATGTGAAACTTAGAGGATTTTCTACCCCTGTTTTTCAAAACAGTAACCTATGTTTAGAATCTGTAAAATGATAATAATCTACTTTGTTCCTAAATTGTATACTCCATTAACCTAGACCAGGGAAGCCTACTATAGAAAGGTATGTTAATATGATGAAGTTAAGCTTTTAGAGGAGATGGTGGGTTGTAGGAAGAACTTACGTGTTCCAGCTGATACAAACTTCGGCAGTTTTTTTGTGGCTGGAATGCAAGCAACAGCAGTGATAAAAAGTGGAAAACCTAAACTGTTTCATGTATGTTGAGAAACTTCATATGGTATTCTAATACTGAAAGGATTCTTTTAAAGATGCTGAGTATGTAAAGTCAGCACAAGATGACAAAGAAACAACAAACTGCAGAAGCCAGGTGCGGTCTAAGAGACATTTATGACAATTAGAAAGAGAATATTTAAAACATTAAAGGACATCTACAAACAAGATAAGTGGTTCAGACTGTATGTTAAGTTATAACTCTCATTACAAAATTGCACACTGAAAATAAGTCTAGGAAGTTCAATAAAAAACTGTAGCAGGTATCCCAAAGTCCTAATAATTTCCAGCTGTATTTTCTGAGTGCTTGAAGTCATTTAATTTGAAGTAACAATATCAGCAACTGCTAGGTTAGTGTTGCAGTTCTGTTACCTGACTTTAAAAAAAACCCACACAAAGTCAACAGGAAGAAAACATGGAGGAAGTCTAGCCCTGGACCTCACTTTCTCAGCTCAAAATAATCTGTCAGAAACTATGTACTGAAACCTCCTATACCAACATTAAGTAATGAACTTGGTTTTTGGGTGTTTCTGCTTCTGAACTCTTGGTTCAGGCTGTGATAACGCCTCCTTGCATTATCTTGCATTATCATACTTTGCAGAGTAACAGAAGTGCTCCTTTTTAACTGTAAAGCATCATTAATAAGTACTAAAAACAATCAGGTTTTGTTATTTCTGTTGCTTTCTCCTTATTGTGGAAATTCATAGTTCTCTAGACAGCCACTGGTTTTGCTTAGAGCCCTGGTTCATCAGAGTTCATACAGATGCATTCCATGAATCTGGGTCCATCTTGCCATGCCACTGGCTAACTGGGCTGTCCGAACACTTCACAGGCTTCGTGTGGATGCCAGAATAAATGGCATAGCAGGTACACTGAGAGAATCAAAATGAAGCATGCATTATTTATGGAAGTAATCACAGTCCTACTGAAATGTATCCTGAACCGAATTGCCTGCAGCTAATGAACAGAAACAAAAGAATAACTGTTAGTGTTTGACGTGAAAATTTCTGGTTTGGATGAATTTAAACTAGGTTTTTAATGCTACGTTGGTACATGCATATAAAATAAGAACTCCCCTTTGCCCTTTTACTCACATTTCTACACACTTCTGTGTACTTTATTTTCAGGCCAGTACTGTGATCCAGAAGGATTGCACTATGTCAAAAGTCTTGAATAAATTATGCCCCAGAAGCTTCAAAAGCCACAGAGAAACTAGCCTCAAAGTCAGGTATTGGTTAATAGAAGTCTGAGTAGCCTGAGAGGCATTACTGCTGGTGTGCTGTATACTAATGATTTTCTATTAGTAGAGAATCTTGACTAATGATTCTCTATCAGCGTGTCCTGATTGATGTGCCAGTCAATGGATCAGTGCGTCATTTTATTTCCTCTTAAACAGCATCCTTCCAACCTGAGTGTGGTAGGATTTGGCTTTAAATGAACTGCTGCAAACAGTTTCTTTATCTGAATGGAGACAGGAAAACATTTTCATTTCCTATAGGTTTGAATTGGTGCGTAGTTTTCTTCTGAATTCATAAACTGTTTGTGCCAAGGAACTAACTGTGGGCTTTTTACATTTTTTTAAGAATAGTAAATGTTTGGAATGAGAAGAGGCTCTGTGGTAACACTACTGCTGTGTTTAAATTCTATATTCTTTATTCTATATTCTTTAACTGCACTTAAAGAAAGTGCTGGGTTTAAAGCTCCAGCAAACTTACTTAAAAATATATTCAACAAATTAATATTTAATTTTTAGCCTGTCTACTGTGCTGCCGTAAAAAAGGAATGGCAGCCATTTTCTACAAAAGACTCAGGGCTTGCTAGCTTTATTAGCATAAAAAAAAATCAAAAACACATGCAAATATCAGTAAACTGATTATTTGGATCTGTCCTTAGGATATTAATCTAGGTTTTTTTGCTCGTTGAGCTACAGGAAATTAATGCGACTGCTTCAGTCAGATCTTTTTGAATGGAGAGGACTTTACTTTGGATGATCTGTAATTGAGTTGATTTTACCCATTTATGTTCTCACACTGGCATGCTCACAGCACTGAAATATATGTCCAGGTGATCTGGCCAGCATCGCTTCTGTGCAAGCCTGGAGGCCAGGAGATGCCAACACTTGTGTCCTCACCTCTCTTGGATTCTACCTTGCTGGTGGCAACAGATGAGTTTTGGGAAAACTGATGTAGGACCCAAAGGTTGCTATATTTTGATCATTCACTTCAGAATTTTGCTTACTTCAGTCTCGGTAAGTGTTAAGCAAATCTGCTGCCAGTGTTCTCCTTTCATGTTTCTCCGGGTAGCTGGGCTGGCAGGAGGAGGAGGCAGCAGCACATGGCATCACTGCATAGGGTGTTGCCTCTTCTGACCTGCAGCAGCCTGGTTTGCAGCATAATTAATTACACAGTTTTAATTCTGGATACCTAGCTTGAGGAAAATATGCTAAATGGTTATGAAAATAGAAGACCTTAAACTTACGTAGGATTAATCACCCAAAAATGTGCCTAG